AGTTTTTGCTCGAAGAAGTGTTAATCAATATGTGCTTAAAACACTTGTGTAATCTTCTTAGAAGAAGCATTCATATAAACACAAGATCACCATCAACTGGTGTTGATTGATTCCTTGGGAGACTTGGTGAAAGTCGGATCTCAAGAAGATAATGGATGTGGTCATTATGGGAAATCCTGATAGGATATCTTACGGGATCGGATTTTGTTTGGTCAATGGTAGTCATATCTTAAAGGGGACCGAGTGAAGGTCAGACTCTTGTGAGATCACTGATGGATATCATTGAAAGGAAATCATAGTAAGAGATCTTGAGGGATCATATTCTATTGGGTCAATGATTGTTATATTCGTTAAATTAGATCCCTGAACATATCATTGGAAAGTTCCTTGAGAGACTGAGTGAAGGTCAAATCTCAAGAAGACAATGGCTGTTGGTCATTGTGGGAAACCCAAATAGGAGATCTTGAGGGATCAGATTCTATTGGGTCAATGAATGTTATATCTGGTTGGATCACTGAATGTGTCATTGTGTGTTAGTCACTGGCGGTTTCCCGTGCAAGTGTAATCAGTTTGGTTATAGTGGATTAAGTCTTTGGATAAGGAGAAATCATCTCGGGGGTGGACAGGAGTAGCCTAGTTAACAGTGAACCTGGATAAAATACTTATGTCCTTTTCTCTCCATTGTCTTTATAGCTATTATCATTTGAGCACTTAGAATTTCTAAAGGGGAATATTTTCTAAGAACACAATTCAACCCCCCATTTCTTGTGTTTTCTCTACCTTCACGGAGGCCACCAAACAAGAATTTGGTGTTGTGATATGAAGGTCCGATAATGGTTCAGATAGAAGAAGTGAATTTGTGAATTTGGCATGCGAAAGAAGTGGGTAATATAGACGTCCAGTCTGGAATTTGAAACGAGATGATACCGGTACAAGAAAATGTGAGTGTCCATTTAGGTTGTGTAGGTATCAGTTGGAAAATATAAAATGGAGGCTTAATGTGATATGTGGTTTATATAATCATGATTTAAGTGCAAAGTTAGTTGGTCATCCAATTGCATGTCTGCTCTTGCTGGAAGAGAAGTAATGTGTGTCTGATATGACAATTAATTTGGTATCCCCCAAAAATATACTTGTAACTTTGAAGCGCAAAAGACCTGAGAATATATCAAATATCAAGCAAGTGTACAATCAGTACTACCTATCCAAACTAGCACTTAGGGAGGATCAAACTGAAATGCAACACCTTTTGAAACTTCTAGATGATAACAATTACGTTTCTAAGCACCAAAGATGTGATGATGGATTGACATTAAGAGATATATACTGGACTCATCCTGATTCCATTAAATTGTTCAATATGTTTTCCATTATGCTTATACTTGATTCTACGTATAAGACCAACAAATACAGGTTTCCATTGTCGGAAATTGCTGGTGTTACATCGAATGAGAAGACGTATTCTATTGGTTTTGCATTTCTAGAGTGCGAAAAAGAGGACAATTTTGCACGGGCTTTAGAGGTTTATCGGTCAATGTTGAAGAACTAAGAAAATATGCCGAAAGTCATTGTTACCGACCGTGATACAACACTGATGAATTCGGTTGCAACTGTGTTTCCGACTTCTTATGCATTAATTTGTAGGTATCACATTACTAAAAATGTGAGAAGTCGGGTAAAACCCACGGTAGGGACAAAGAATATAGAGATTGAAAATGATAAATTAGTTAAGGCAAGCGTTGTTAAGGAGAAAATCATGGATGCATGGAATATTATCATAAATGCATCTACAAAAGATATATATGCTGATGATGTTATACATTTCAGGAAGGTGGGCGAGAAATATCCCGCTTTATTGAAATATATTGAAAGTACTATTTTAGACCAGGTAAAGGAGAAAATTATATGTGCTTGGACTGATCAGGTTATGCACCTTGGAAATACAACAACAAACCGAGTTGAGTCGGCTCATGCTTGTCTGAAGAATTGGTTGGGAAACAACAAAGGTGATTTGTGTGCGGGTTAGGAATCAGTGAACCATATGTACTAAACGAGCATAATAAGATTCAAACATCATTTGGTCATAGTATTACAGTGTTGGAACAAATTCAAAGACAACAGTCTCTATTCTCAGTTGGTCGGCAACATCTCCCGATCAACTCTTAATTACATTTTTCACGAAGCCAAGCGAGCCTCTAATTTAGGCCCCGATAGCTCTAAGTGTGGTTGCAACCTTGTCAAAACATACATTCTCTCATGTGCTTGTGTCATATCTAAGAAGTTGAAACTTGATTGCCCGATACGAATGGACAAGGTCTCCAATCATTGGAAGAGACTGAGTTTTGATGACGATGGTGTTATGAAAGACTATAAATTGAGTATCACAATCTCGACGGAATGGGAAGCGATACAAGAAAGATTTTTGAAAGCCGATGACAATACGAAACTCCACATCAAAGAGAAATTGAGGAGGCTTGCATTTCCGGGACCACCGACTTGAAACCACCATCTCAACCAGTAAAAACAAAAAGAGCACCTAAAAAGGTCAAACCTATACCGAGTGAAAATTCAAAGATAATGAGTCCTTCATATTTTGAACATGTTGACAAGGTATTTTTCGATTCGCTGACTGAAATCTCAAAAAGTGTCTTCAAAGAAGTCCGCATTAGCAAACCACCTCTTACACCGCCTCCACCAAAAATACCATTCATCGAGGAGATATCGGTTTTATGCATAAATCCATTGAACGGATCGTCAATGTCGGTGGTGACGGAAACTGTGGTTTTCAGGCTGTTTCTGGTTTACTGGGTAAAGGGGAAGACAATCACCAACTTGTTTGCGATACTCTTATCAGAGAGCTGAGGAGCAATAGAGAATTATACAAACGGGTTCTCAGGACTAATGAAAAAGTTGAAGAGATTTATCACGCACTAGTACCTTTCGTCAGTGAATTTGTACCAGAGAATAAAATAGACACGCTTCTCTGAGATGTGTCATCTGATAGCAAATGCGTATGAGAGATGTGTATTAATCTTACAATATACGATTTCTCTTAAAAATTTTATCCATAACGCACTGCTCCACCTCTAAATCCAAATAATTCTATCATCTGTGTTGGGTGGCTCTCAAAAATATAACATTTTGTTCAGGTGTATTTAAAACCTGAATTCCTTATACCACTTACATCACCGGAGTGGTCGAATCATTATACAATTCAATCTGAGACTTGGCCGGATCATTTTATTGAAAGGATGCAAGAGTACACCAAATTTAACAACATTGAAACAGAAGAAAAAAAACAAGGAAAAGTCAAAGGGTATATCGCCTATAGATTTGTCAGGAAACAATTGCTCCGTATCTTTTAAGTGGTTAGTTATCACATTATTGTATATGAAATTTTGTTAATGCATTATGCTGTGGAATATAAACATTTTGGTACTAATGAATTATGTTGCTTCTTTTATGCATTTGTTTATGTTTTTTTAATACCAGGGACGTTACCAGAAATGTATCTCCGGGAAAAACATAGGGTGTAACCGAAAATGCATGTCCGGTTTGTCAACAGATATGATTTGTGTGGTCCATAATATCCTCCCACTACTATAAATAAACTCATCTCTCATGTTGTTTCATACCAAAACACAAAAAGTATAATGAATATCGTTTGGCATGTTAGAAACGTTCACTTTACCGACAATATACTATCACGAGAATTTAAGATCATCGAGTACATCCCTATTGAAGATATGTAATACTTATTGCAGCATCTTCTACCATATGGCGACGATTGAAAAATAGTGAAGATCGAGTATCGCTCGTCATCCATTGACAAGGAAGGGAAGCTTGAGTTCATTAACCATGAGCTAAAGACGAGCGCTGATTTATGGCCTATATGGACTATCTATTTTGGTTTAGAATTGAAAGTTTCGATCGAGCTCGATGTGATGGTTTCGAGAACGGTCGATGAAATTATGAAGATGTTTCAACGTCCATTTGAATATTAAAGTGTAATATTTAATGTATATTTAAATCCCTTGTGTATTGTTTATTTTATGGTATTTTTAGTTTGACAATTTTGTTTATCTTTAGTTCTGATTTTCTGCATTCTGTAATAGATGATACTGGAAATATAATGTCGGATTGGACACGGAAATGTAACTCCGATTTTGATTGTTTTCTAATTACCTATAGATACATTCCGAAAATACACATCTAATTTCTAAAAACATTTATGTATTTTTCACACGGTGAAATAAAAATATATAAAATACTTTAAAAATAGGTCTTATAATATGTAATTTTTTATTTTAAATATAACTTTTTATGTTTAAATTTATTTTTCAACTCATTTCTATGATTAATAATATTCACAAGATCTAGACTGCCAAAACTCTCCTATCACATGTCCACTAGCATTAAAAAAATTGTCGGTGACTCATAAGCCCCTTAAACTTTACAAATCCATTTCATTTTTCAAATCCTTAATTATTTATTTCAAAACTGAAAAATGAAATTTAAAATCCATTAATATTAACTAGCCAACAAAAAAAAATCTCTATAATTACAAATATATTCTCCTCTAACTAAGTAAATATTTTCTTTTTAGATTTATTAAATAATAAATATATTTAATCTCTTAACTAAATCAAATATATTTATTATTAAATAAATTTAAAGAGAATTTTTACTTATAAATAAGATTGGAGAGAACATTTAAAATATTCTATTCTTAAGGGAAAAAAAAGCAATTGTTAGATAAATGTAGAAATGACATTGGCAATAACATCATAATATAACATGACAATAACATGCTACAAGTTATTTATTTATTTTTTTAAAAAAAAAGTGTTCAATAGAAATCACATTCTCATACATATATATTGAATAGCACATTATGTTCACAAAAAAATGGATTCAAATCAAAGCAAATATCATCATCAAAAGTAGATACATCAACACAATAAATCTAAATTAAATACTGAACAAATTCATCTTCATCTTCACAACAACATCACCAATACACCACAAGTTGCCAACACAATGTTGCTCCAGATTCCATAGCTCAGTACCTTGTAAGCAGAAGAGCCATCAGGCAAAGACGAAGGCGACGAAGATTTACTGTCAGCACTTTTTTCAGTTGGAGAATCAGCAGCAGGCGCGATATCAGGCGTAGGCGCTGGAGCCGGTGCAGGAGGAATATCAGTTCCGAAAATAGCCTCGGGAAGTAAGACCTTACCAACTTGATAAATTGCAACAGGGTTAGTTGCATGAACAGCACTTGTTACTTTAGTAATAGACCATCCTGAGTTAATGCGAACGGTTCCTGAATCATCGGTGAAATTCAGCGTGTAATCGCCTCCTGCGAATGTGGGAGTAAAGCTAGTTTGGCTAAGGTTTTTGAAATCAGAAAGAGAATAGAAATGTGGCAATGCATGGAAAAGGATCACTTGTTTGATTTGATCATCTTTGAGTTTGGATAGAGAAGGTTTCTTCAATGAATTGAAGGCACTGTCTTGTGGTACAAAGATAGTGATTCCTTCTTCAGTGTTGTTTGCTTGGTTTTGGAATGTGTCCAACACTTTCGTGGATTCGAGGTATCCGAGAAAAGTGTGAAATGGACCAGCAACATTGAGTAGTTCAGTAAGGTTTACATAATCTGGTGCAGGTGCTGGGGCCGGAGTTGGAGTCGGTGTTGGCGCGATCGGTGCCGGTGGACTTACAGTTTTGGCAAATGCTGGTGAACTTAGAACAAGTAGAATGTTGCTAACAAGAAAAATCATTGAAAACTTCATATTTGATTGTTTTCTTCAAAAATCAAATCACTACTCTCTCCAAATTCCTATAAGAAAAAAGCTCAAGAATGTTAGATCTCAACAAAAAAGTTACTATATTTCAAAATGAAAAAAATACTAGATTTCTTGATTGAATTCGAAACAATCAAGACTGTCTATAAGGGCGTGCATGGCAGACTACTGCTCTAGTAACCGAGGCTAAGTAGAGTCTCATAAAATACTCGTCACAATTAAATTATGGTAAAAAGGACTGTATTGGTTTTATCAAGACTAACCTATGCAAAGCCTCTAAAAATTTGAGACGGCTCCGAAAACAATATACTACTAAGAAAATATGAACTTCAAGTTCAAACTTGAAACTCAATTTCCAATGGATAATAAACAAATAAACATATAATTACAAATCTTTCAACTTTGTCTAGATTCTCTTGTCTAGATAACATTCAACAATTGTCAACAATTAACTTAAATCTATAACCAGATCTTGCAAAATTTAACATACATCAACAACAGGAAATTATTGAATAGAATAATAAATGTATAAAGCAAGATCTAGGAATTCTAATTGAAACATCAAAGTAAGCAGAAGCAATTACAGATCTGAACATATTATGAAAATTGATGGAAAAATGAAAATTCTAAAAAAACAATTAAATTGTGGAACCACATTAGACCAAAATTCTAAAAAAGAAGTGAATATTACTAAAATAAAATATATAAAAAAAAAAGATTAATTTAATAAATCATTTTACAAGTGTTAGACTAGTCAAGAACACAGTGACAGAGTCCACATCATGAAAACATCAAGATCTATAAAACACAAACTGATCCAATATTCCAATGACCCATCAACGCAAAAATGAAATGTTGATGTTCAAAAACAAGAAAAACTAAAACTTTGCATGAAAAAACAAAAAGCAAGACATATATGAATGAGATTGCAGAAGAAGACAGACCTGAAAAGAAGGAATTGAGAGAGAGAGAGAGAGAGAGAGAGAGAGAGAGAATGAGAAGATGAATGTGGTGATGGTGTAGGAAGAATGAGAATGGGGAGGAGGGTATATAAAGGTGAAATGGAAGTATAAAGAGGAAGAGAGATGTAGATGGATACAGCACACAGATGTTTCTAACTTGAGAGTGTTTCCTTTGTTTTTGTTTTTTAATAGCAAAACTTGATTCTTGGTGGATACATATATATTTAGTTTTTTTAATTTTTTAAATTGATTTATAATTTTAGTTTGAATAGTTTTAAATTAAAACACACCTAATTTCCAAAACAAAATTGTTGCCAAATCATTTACAATGTGTCATTACGTGATAGTTTAAACAAATTTATTACAAAAATTGAGGAAGAACAAAGTTGGTTTAGTAGTGAATTTTCAAAAGATATACAAGTGACTAACTTAACATGAAAAAATAGTATGTTTAAAAAATTTAAAGGCTCACGAGTAAAACTTTACCTTATGTTTTAGACCATGCTTCTTTAGCATAATTTAAAGTTTAAGACAAGTTTGTTATTTCTTTTTTAAAACTAGTCCTTTATCCTTTAATTTTAAAAATATTAATTTAATATTCAAAATTATAAAAGAGAGCTCTATGGAAGACTCCTTTGTTAGTATGAATGTATGGTGATCTTTCTTTATCCAATTCAACTAACCACTTCTTAAATTCATAATAAACCAACCTTGCACACTACCCCACCATTTCTCTTTTCTTTTATCACCTCTTTCTTTCTCTTCAAAATTTAACATTCCATAAACCTATATTATATGAGATGTTTTGTATTGCAAGTTTTTGTTTATTGATTTTCATCAAGAAAAAATGGACCTTGCGCCTACAATTTGGGCACCTTTAGTCTTTGTTTGACCTTTGATGATGTAAAATAGAGGGAAAATGGTTGTTTTCATATTTTTTTCACGTAACTTTTTATTCACAACTCATCTTGCAATTGAGTTTTTTTTATTTAATAGAAAAATTTGTAATTGAGTTTAACTAATCAATTTAGGAAAATACGTGGTAATATAGTTGTAAATATGGTTGAGATGTAGGAGTCTAGAATTCATTTTCTATACACTTAGCTCATATTCAAATAATCTCGTATAATTTTGTAAATTTGAGGCAAGTTTTCGAGTTTGATGTTATTTTTAAGAAAAAAATTTAAAAATATATTTTTGGGTGAATATGTGGTGTCGAAGTCTCTTGGATATTTAATGTTTAGGTCATTGACACTTCTGACGCCTCTGGATTCCCTAACAAGGTGCGTATTGGTTAGTTATTGTGTGTTAATTTCACATCAAAGTGGCATCAAGGCTCTTGGTTAGAGGCTATTTTACTTGTTTGAATAATGGGGTCAAATAAAAATATGAAGATGATATTGTTGAATGGTTCTAATTACCATTTATGGAATGACAAGATGAAAGACTTACTGTTTGTGAAGAAATTGCATTTACTAGTTTTTAATTCCACAAAATCGAATAACGTGTAAGTTGAAGAATGAGAGTTTGAACATCTACAAGTATGTGATTTTATTTGGCAATATATAGACACTACTACGAAAAACACCTTCGATAACACAATATTACCATGATCATTTATCCACCGTGTCATATCTCATTTTTTACGCACATTTTTTTTAATTTCATTAAGAAACTTTCATCACGGTTCCTTTAAAGAGCCGTTGTCATATAATTCAGGTAGCTTTGAATCCCAGCCACGATATTTTTCCATTAATTCAGTAACATACAAGCTAATTTATCTCTCTCTCTCTGAGCGATATCCGGTGTGATTTCCATTTCAATTCTGGTGAGGTTATCTACATGGGGAAGCGAGGTGTAGGTTGGCCGCCGAAGAAACAGACGGCGCTACACCCAAGAACTGTGGAAAGTGTGATTGGGTCATACCCAAAATTTGTCCTACCTCAGCGGTCTTTTTTAAAGAATTATTTAATTAAAGATGGTACAACAATATCTGATGGACTATCTTTATTCAAGATCAGGGGGGTGTATTTTAAATCAAGAAAATTTAGTTGTTATTTAAAAAGGAGGGATGAAAATTAAATCTGAGAGTATGCAAAAGAAAGGGGAAGAATTAACGCTAGGCCCAATTGAATTAAAGGAGAAGTTCTGACTGCAAACGAAGAAGTGCTAGGCTGTATGGATCAAGCGCTGACCCATCAGAACTTCTGAAACAAATTCTAGAAGCCCGTCTTTACAGAAACAAAAAAAAACTGTGAAGATCAGAGCCAGAATCACACGCAAGCTAGTACTGGTATAGAACTGGAATATCAGATCTTCTAGCAGAGTCAAATTGTAAGCAAGGGCAGAATCAAATTATCTTCCATAGCGCAAGCTCAGAGTTTCAGAGGCTAAGCAACCCAAGCCCAAATCTGTTGGACGTGCATTGTATCAATTTCAATCAAATCTTCCACAGAGAATCAATTCCAATCAAATCTTTTTAATTCTATCCTTAATCTTTGCTCTAGCAATTGTCCAAGCTCAAAAATTGAACATTATAAATAGAGGAACAAATTAGCAAACAAGGACAAAGAAAAGAGAGGAAAGAATACGAGAGAGACGAATTTGCAGAGAAAAGCAATACGGTAACACTTGAAGAAAGAGCAATGAGAGTAGAATTTCTGGAAAATCCAGAAGAAGAACACGCAGAAGAGTAACTGAGGTTCCAATATCTGGAACCCTAGTTTCAATCATCGTCGCTCCACCTTCTGTCACTGCCGTCACCAGAATCCGCAGAAGGAGAAGGAAAGGATAGAAAACAAGCACTAGAATCAGAGGCAAAAGCGCCAAAGGGGTAACAAATTTTAGTTTGTTTCTTTACTGTTTTTGATGTTGGGATTGTGGTGAATAGGGGTAGAACATTGATCTTTCTATAACACGACAGAAACAAAATTAGTAAGGGTAAAATTCATATTTAATATTCTGATGCAAGTGCACATGCGCGCGTTGTTTTGTTATGTTTTGATAAGCCTCCCCGTTTGTTAGAACTTCCCTTTCAGAGATTTCCCCTGCCCAGAATTAGCATTAGGCTTATACATTTTCACAGCACCTAATCCGTCTGGCCTTCCCAGAAATTCTGTGTAGTGGGCTTAGCCCAGAGGTTAACACCCCTATTTTCTGACTTTACTAACCAGCTTGCAGCATACCTTTTCAGAAGTTCTGCGACTGGGGCCAAAATCCAATCAATTTCCCTGCATCCCCTGCAGAACTTCTGTCTCTTTCAGAACATCTCTTTTCCAGTATTGGTGCTAGGGCTTAACAACCAGAAGATACACCTTCCGGTTTTGATTAAAATATTTTTTATTTCTATTTCTATAATAATAATAATAATTATTATTATTTATACTATTATTATAATTATTAGTTTTTATTGTGAATATTAATATTATTTATTATATCACTTAAATTATTTTTACATCAAAAATTGCATATTATTTTCCTATATTATTTGCATTAAATATTTTTATATCATGCATTAATAAGATTTTTTTGCAATTAATATCCATAAAAAATACTCAACAAATCTCAAACTATTTTTTTCCGCAATCAAATAATCTAAACAACTTTTTTTGCTAAGGGTTTCAAACAGATTTTGACTTACTGCGCATTTAGTCAAAATCTCCTCAATCACTACTCTCGGCCAAAATACGAGGTGATTCAAAGTTCGTTTGCAACCCCTAAAAAACACCAAACCATACGAACTATGAATTGGGACTCTGATTCCGCATAAGAGGATACATAGGCATACGATCAAAAAACGTAGTGAGTTCCCTATAAAAATATTTAAACCCTTTCCCCTATAAAAATATTTAAATCCTGTTTCCCCAACTTAAACCTAAAACCTAATATCCTTGTGAACAAGGTAGATGAAAGGTGCCTAACACCTTCCTTTCGTCTAATGAAGTCCGAAACCTAGAATCACTGTCTGTGAATTAGGGTTTTCTGTTAGATTCCCTTCCCTAGGATAAAAACTAATAGTGGCGACTC